CAAAAAAAAAAAAAAAAAAATAGAAAAATCAGCTGAATCTGGTGGCACACAGCTATAGTCCTAGCTATTTGGGAGGCTGAGGCAGCAGGATGCTTGAGCCCAGGAGTTTGAGATTGCTGTGAGCTAGGCTGATCCCATGCACTCTAGCTCAGGGGACAGAACAATAGACTGTCTCGAAAAAGAAGCAGCTCGAGTCCTAAGGAGCTTATAGTGAAATGGAAGAAACAGATGGAACCAATGATTACGTACAAAGTGCACCATGTAAGTTGGGATAATTTCCTGGGTGCTGGGGAGACACTGCTTTGGGCCTGCTGATTGGGCTTTAGATGGGTAAGTAGGGAGTTCACAGGTGGGTGTGGGGCAGCTGTGCTCTGAGGATGGTCCAGGGACACACTGGCCTGAGAGTGAGGTGCTCTCAAGAGCCGCAGAACAATTCACTGTGGCTAGCATGTTTGGTCACTCGGGGGGAAGTTGGGGCCAAAGGGAGACAGGACCCTGGTGCAAGTTTGGATTTAAGCAGTGCGGGAGGGACAAATGCATAGAACCAGCCTTGGCTCAGATCCCAGAGAAGTGGACTCTGAAGATCTGGTCTGGCTGTGATAGGTGTACCCTCTTCCTCTCATTTGAAAGGTATTGAAATTGGAACAATTTCTGTCTGTTATTTGCTCTTCCCTTGTACTTTACGAGAAGTTCAAGGAGGCCTTCTAGATTGCTTCTGTGCTGGATCTCCCTGGGGAGCAGGGTTAAGGCCCTGAGAAGGGTCTTGGGGAAAGCTGCCCCTTTGCTCATCACAGTCTTTTCTATCTGGGTTACTACCCTGGTCAGGCAGCTCTGGGTTTTACTTGACTTCTTTACATTCCCAAAACAATCCCCAAAGTGTCTTTTTTGAGCTGCCAAGTAGGCTCTTGAGACTTTGTTAGGAGCAATGTAGTATGTGTTAATTGTCCCTGATAGTTTCCTGAACTCATTATGTAACCCAGACAAGAAGCTGTACTTGTAAATAACAGCTGCTGAGCTTGCTCTCACCTTCTCCTTCTCTCCTCGTAGCATAGTGGGAACAATTTGGAGGCGATCATGGTTTCCACACCCCAGACTCCGACTCATGGTGCTCTGGCTAAGTTCCGGACAGAGGTAACTTATTTCATGCAAATGCTAACTTCCTGAGTATCATTTGAAAGTAACGGACTTCTCTGCATGTTTGAGGAATTTGTAACCAGAGCCAGTGCTGCTAGTCCTGTTCCCTGGTGTCACACACCAAAGGGCATTTAGGGATTGGGCACAGTGGCTCATACCTGTAATCCTAGCTATTTGGGAGGCTGAAGTGGGAGATGGGGACTTCTGGCCTCAATCTTCCTACCACTTTGGAAGGCTTATGGCCAGGAATTTGTGACCAACTTGAGCAACACAGTGAAACCTCATATACAAAAAGTAGAAAAATTAGCCAGTCGTGTTGTCATGTACCTATATAGTTCCAGCTACTTGGGAGACTGAGGTAAGAGGATCACTTGAACTCAGGAGTGTAAGGTTGCTGTGAGCTATGATAACACCACCACACTCCAGCCACAGTGACAATGAGGCCCTGTCTCAAGAAGCTAGAGTGGGAGAATACGGGGAGTGCATTTAGGGAACCTACCTGGAGAAAGCAGCAAATTTGCTGGCATAAAGCCAGGCCTATCCTGGCTTGGCACCTATAGCTCAAGCAGCTAAGGGGCCAGCCACATACACCAGAGCTGCCTGGTTCGAAT